GTGGCCCCATAGGGAGCTCCACCTAAGGTCCCAGTGGCGCAGCCCGCATGGCGCCGGCACACCCCTCACACGTTTCGTGGCCCCATAGGGAGCTCCATCTTTGGTCCCAGTGGCGCAGCCCGCATGGCGCCGTCACCGTATTTTTGGCACAACCCTCACACGTTTCGTGGCCCCATGGGGAGCTCCACCTAAGGTCCCAGTGGCGCAGCCCGCACGGCGCCGCCGCCCCATTCTGGCAGACCTCTCACACGATTCGTGGCCCCATAGGGAGCTCCACCCAAGGCCCCAGTGGCGCAGCCCGCATGGCGCCGCCGCCCCATGTCGGCACACCCCTCACACGTTTCGTGGCCCCATAGGGAGCTCCATCTTTGGTCCCAGTGGCGCAGCCCGCATGGCGCCGCCGCTCCATTTTGGCACACCCCTCACACGTGTCGTGGCCCCATAGGGAGCTCCATCTTTGGTCCCAGTGGCGCAGCCCGCATGGCGCCGCCGCCGTATTTTTGGCACACCCCTCACACGTTTCGTGGCCCCATAGGGAGCTCCACCTAAGGTCCCAGTGGCACAGCCCGCATGGCGCCGTCGCCGTATTTTGGCACACCCCTCACACGTTTCGTGGCCCTATAGGAAGCTCCATCTTTGGTCCCAGTGGCGCAGCCCGCATGGCGCCGCCGCCTTATTTTTGGCCCCCCCCGTCGTCTCTCTGCCCAGCGGCCACAGCTCTCTCTGTTCCGCGCAGCGGACGACCCGTGCGCGTCGCCGGGACCCCTTCGGGGCGACCGGCGTGCGTCGCGGGGACTTCGTTCGGCGCCGCGCCCGCAGCCTCGGACATGGGCGTGCACGGGCAAAAAGAGAGAAAAATAACGGGAAGGAAGCGGGCGCGATCCACGGGAGGAGCGTGCCAACATGGGCGTCGACGTTTATGCACGTAGACTGATTCGCACGCAGACTCAATTCAATCAGATTCACTCGCGGTCAGTCTCTCGCACACAGACCTATCGTCTTCTCTCGCGTTGTGTGCCCCGCCACGCATTTCGGCACGCCCCTCGCACGGTTCGTGGCCCCATAGGGAGCGTGGGCAAAGATGAAATTCATAATTGCGGTATTCACAGCTGCATATGGTTGGGTCCTTCGCCAGGATAATTTTTACAAGGGGAAGCGAGGTAACTCCAAACTGCGCCCCTGGCCCACGACTTACAACAACAACGGCTCCCGCCCGATATTTCCGCACAAATTATTTTCGAATCGCGCTCTCGCGCGGGACGTTTTCACAACTTATATAGGAATGGTGCTTTCGCGTGTCGCATTTTTTTCAGACGCCGCGCCCTCGACACTCAGGATTTACGCTCTCGTTGTGAATGCCGTCGCGATTGATTTGGGAATCGTGCTATCGCTCGAGAGTTCCTCGCGATTCATGCAGTAATCACGCTTCAGCAACCGCCTGCTCGACTTGGCCGCTTGGGCCCGCCTTCCCGACCTGCCCGTTAGGGTCTACCCGCTCGATGTGCCTGTGTGGTTCTGCCACGTCTCTCGTGCTCCATCCTCCACCGTACCCCTTGTCCCGTCCTTCCATTCGTCCTCTCTTTCCCTGTCCTCGGGGCTGCGCGAGATACACGTTGCAGGCAAACGCAATTTATCTATCCCTAAGGGGTACGATCCAAAACGAAAAGGGCGGGTATCGAGGTTTTTGGGATTTACGTGTTGACTGGCGACTGGCCCGCGAGCAGATACGAGCGAGCAGTCGTAAACTGAATGCTGCTGTTGTTGGTTTAATTGGTGCTCCTGCTGTTGTTGGTGGTGGTTGTTGTTGTTGCCGTTGCTGTTGTCGTTGCTGCTGTGGTTGTTGTGGTTGTTGTTGCTGTTGTTGCTGTTGCTGTTGCTGGTGCTATTGTTGTTATTGTTGCTGTTGTTGTTGTGGTTGTTGTTGTTGGTCCTTGCTTTGGTTGTCGTTCATGGTTGTTGGTTGTGGTTGTTGATGCTGTTGTTGGTGTTGTTCACGAGGACACTATGGTTCACGATGGCACCACTGAGAGACACCAGAGAGCCCAAGAGCACCCCAGGCATGCCCCAGAGGACTCCAAAAGAGCTCCGATGTAGACGTGTGCGCGCCCCTGGGGGGTGACTATCAGCCTCACACGACGGCTTACGCTGGTCGTCAACGCTGCACGCCGCGTGGAAGCGATGGCACCTACGCGCGATTTTGCGGGGGCAGCTTTCGTGCGACTGCCCGCAGCCGGTCTTTCTCTTCTACGTCGCTCACCCCACTTCGCACGTCGTGCCCCGCGACGCGTGGAAAAGGTCATCTCCGCGCCCTTGCGCCGCCGCCCTGGAGAAGGACGCGTTTGTGGCCTGGGCCTCAAGGGCGCAAGGGTGGCCTAGTGACGCACCGGGCCCTTACTTTCAACATTGGCTGTAGCTCCGACCCCTATCATCACAAATCCCCCCCCCCCCCGACCTCTCCAGGGTGCGTTCTGACCAGGGGGATCTAGCAGTGGCGACGGGGGCGCCCCCCAGAGGCCCAACAAGGACGGACATCCCCACGAAAAACGCGACTTTCGGACCTCGATCCTCCCGTCTCCTTCATCCCGACTTCCCCGAGAGCGCCGCCATATGGGGGCCACCACTACCAAAGGTGTCACCAGAGTGTACTGGCCACTGGGGGCGCTCAATGAGGCACGAGGGTCCTGGGGGGTTCGGGGGGGCCCTGTGAGTTCTGGGGGGTCCTTGGGGGAGGAGGTAGGAGACGGGGAGGGAGGGAAGGGGGAGAGGGCAGGGGAGGGGAGGCGAGGGGAGGAGAGGTGAGGGGAGTGAGGGTGGGAGAAGAAGGATCGATGACCGATCTTTGAGCCAACTTAGGCAGTCTCGGAGCCGTCTTGGGCCCCTCCTGGGACGCTTTCGCGGTCTTTTGGGCTGTTTTGGGCGCCTCAGTGGCCATGTAAAAAGGGCCTCCGGTGGCTGTCTCAAGGCTCCATGGGAATCTTTTGGGACCCTCAGGAGCCCTCTTGGGGGCCTTTTAGGGCTGTCTTGGGTGGTCTTGGGTCTCTCTTGGGCCGTCGCGGTGCCGTTGGGATGAGAAACAGCAGAACAACAATCAAAAACCATCGGGAACCAATGATTGTTGCTTCTGAGCCCTTTGAGGAGGCCTCTTGGAGATATCCTGGTGCAACTTGGAAGCTTCTTGGGCCGTCTTGGAGCCGTCTTAGGGCGTCTTGACTGCCTTTGGGGCCGTCGTGGAGCCACCCTGGGCCGTCTCGCAGTCGTTTTGGACCCCTCCTGGGCCATTTTGGAAGTCTCCTGGGCCGTCGTGGGCGCCTTTGGGGCCATTTTGGGGGCCTCCTGTGGCTGCCTTGAAGCTCTCTGGGAATCTTTTGGGACTCTCAGGGGCCCTCCTGGGAGCCTCTTGGGGCTCTCTTGGGCGGTCTTGGGTCTCGCTTTGGTCGCATTGGTGCCCTTGGGGAGAAACAGCAGAACAACGATCAAAAACCATCGGGAACCAATGATTGTCGCTTCTGTGAGCCCTCTGAGGAGGCCTCTTGGAGATATCCTGGTGCGCCTTGGAAACTTCTTGGGCCGCCTTGGAGCTATCTTAGGGCGTCGTGAGGACCTTTGGGGCCGTCGTGGAGCCACCCTGGGCCGTCTCGGAGTCGTTTTGGACCCCTCCTGGGCCATTTTGGAAGTCTCTTGGGCCGTCGTGGGCGCCTTTGGGGCCATTTTTGGGGCCTCCTGTGGCTGCCTTGAAGCTCTCTGGGAATCTTTTGGGACCCTCAGGGGCCCTCCTGGGAGCCTTGTGGGGCTCTCTTGTGCGGTCTTGGGTCTCGCTTTGGTCGCATTGGTGCCCTTGGGATGAGAAGCGGAAGAAACCTTCAAAGGCCATCGAACATAACTTATGTTTGAGTTACCGAGCCCTCGGAGGAGGCCTCTTAGAGCCCTCTTGGGGTCTCTGAGGAAGGGTCTTGAAGTGTTTTTAGGGCCGTCGTGGGGCCGTCTGGGGCCAACTTGGGCCGCCTACGGGTCGTCTTGGGCCCCTCCTGGGCCACCTTGGAGGTCCCTTGGGGCTCTCTTGGGCGGTCTCGGATCTCTCTTGGGCCGTCGTGGTGCCCTTGGGGTGAAGAACTGAAGGAACCTTCCAAACAATTTAGTAGTAGTAGTAGTAGTAGTAGTAGTAGTAGTAGTAGTAGTAGTAGTAGTAGTAGTAGTAGTAGTAGTAGTAGTAGTAGTAGTAGTAGTAGTAGTAGTAGTAGTAGTAGTAGTAGTAGTAGTAGTAGTAGTAGTAGTAGTAGTAGTAGTAGTAGTAGTAGTAGTAGTTAGTAGTAGTAGTAGTAGTAGTAGTAGTAGTAGTAGTAGTAGTAGTAGTAGTAGTAGTAGTAGTAGTAGTAGTAGTAGTAGTAGTAGTTAGTAGTAGTAGTAGTAGTAGTAGTAGTAGTAGTAGTAGTAGTTAGTAGTAGTAGTAGTAGTAGTAGTAGTAGTAGTAGTAGTAGTAGTAGTAGTAGTAGTAGTAGTAGTAGTAGTAGTAGTAGTAGTAGTAGTAGTAGTAGTAGTAGTAGTAGAATACGTAGTAGTAGTAGTAGTAGTAGTAGTAGTAGTAGTAGTAGTAGTAGTAGTAGTAGTAGTAGTAGTAGTAGTAGTAGTAGTAGTAGTCGTAGTCGTAGTAGTAGTAGTAGTAGTAGTAGTAGTAGTAGTAGTAGTAGTAGTAGTAGTAGTAGTAGTAGTAGTAGTATAGTAGTAGTAGTAGTAGTAGTAGTAGTAGTAGTAGTAGTAGTAGTAGTAGTAGTAGTAGTGTAGTAATAGCAGCAGCAGCAGCAGCAGCAGCAGCAGCAGCAGCAGCAGCAGCAGCAGCAGTAGTAGTAGTAGTAGTAGTAGTATTAGTAGTAGTAGTAGTGGTAGTAGTAGTAGTAGTAGTAGTAGTAGTAGTAGTAGTAGTAGTAGTAGTAGTAGTAGTAGTAGCAGTAGTAGTCGTAGTAGGGGTATCAGGAAGTAGACGGTAGAGTAGTAGTCGTAGGAGGCGGCGGGGGAGACGGGCCAGCGCTGGTACTGCCACTGTGGTGCGCGCTACTCGACCTCCTACGGCGTCTGCATCGAGCTGATAGAGGAAGAGCTGAACCCGCCACGTGCGTACTACACGCACGCGGAACACCCCGAGGAGGACATCCGCGACTTGAAGGCCCTGCTGCGCTACGACAAGCTCAAGAAGGAGGAGATACCGGTGTTCAGCGCTGTGGACCTCCTGCAGTACCTGCCCAAGGTCGAGCCGCTGGCAGTGGGCGCCGTCTTCAAGCGCTACGCTCCACACCAGCCGCAGTGGGATGGCCACTATGTGCTAATGGAGGGGCTCTCCTGGGAGAGCCTGACCGAGTTCAAGTGGACCGACCTGTGCGCGCAGGTCGCCTGGGGACTGAACGACCCAGAGTGGGCGGGCTACAGCAAGAAGACGCGGAATAAGGCCAAGAGGGGGCGCCTGGAGATGGCGCACAGGGAGCTGGCGCTCTACGAGCGCCGCCACAACCTGCGGGAGGGCAGCCTCACGGGCGGCGGAGGTGGCACAGGGGTCGCCCCGCGTGCCGCCCCCGTCCGCGCCGCCAGCGCCCCTCCAGCGGGTGGGGCCCGCGGCAGCCAGGACCCGCCACCGCCGCCTGTCGGGGCCCCGCCAGCGGCCATCATGGCCCCGCCGCCGCCGCCGCTGACGGCGCCCCCTGCGGCGCCGCCGCCGCCGACGGACCCGCCGCCGCCGACGGGCCCGCTCCCGCAGCAGATCCCGAATGTTGCAGCCCCGAACGTGGCCCTCGGCGAAGATCTCGAGCGCCAGATCTTTGGGCCGTCAGGGCAGGCGGGCGGCGACGGCGACCTCGGGGGAGAAGTGCAAGCGCTGCCGTCGCAGGTCTTTGCAGCCATTGCGCAGGGAGCAGGCCAGCCCGCCTGAATGATGAAACCCAGCAGGCCCACAGCATCGGATACTTCTATGCCCTCGGGGAGGTTGCGTGAGTCCATGCCGAGGTCTCGTGCCTGCCACTCTCAGAGGTGCTGAACCTGTAGGTCTGCTTACGCCCCAGCTGCAGCAACGCCGCCTTGCCCGCGAACGCGGCGTGCCCACAGCGGTGCCTCCCTCGCGCCGCAGCGCCTGTTGCTTTAGCTTCCGCTCTGCGTGCGGTCATCTGTGCGCCTAGCCACTCTGGCCTGCCAATTGGCTTGCCATCTTGGCCTCCTCTCACGCCCACTTGCGCTCGTGAGCCTCGCTGGCGGTGCTGGGGTGCAAATCGTTTTTGATAGCGCCTAACAACTGGAAGCAGGCGTCGAGCAGCTGCTGCACAAGCTGCATCTTGCACGCGTGAGAAAAAACTGCAACGTAACGTCATCGATGAAGAGACTGAGCTGGATGCCTGAATGTGCTGTCAGCCACGACTGAAGAGGTTGCTTGCTGTATATCTGTCTGACACCAGAGAAAAACCCAATCATAATCTTTTTAGAGCTGTAGGGCTACAGGGCTATATGGGCTCTTGGGCGCTATATGGGCTATATGGCTATATGGCTATATGGCTATAAGGGTTATAGGGCTATAGGGATATAGAGCTATAGGGCGATAGGGATATAGGGCTATAAGGCTATAGGGCTACGGGGCACCGGGCACCCGGGCGCCCGGCACCCGGCACCCGGGCACCCACCCAGGCACCGGGCACCCGTCACCCGGGCACCCGGGCACCCGGGCATCCTGGCACCCGGGCCCGGCCACCGAATCGGCGGCGAACCCGGGCACCCGGGCATCCGGGCACCCGGGCACCCGGGGCCGGCCACCGAATCGGCGGCGAACCCGGGCACCCGGGCACCCGGGCACCTGGGCACCCGGGCCTGGCCACCGAATCAGCGGCACACCTTGCCTACCCTTAAATCTGCTAGGACCCCTGCAGAGGCAAGCTCTGATTGGGGAACTAAGTATGTTGCAAACCCACATCCTGCTGGTATGCTTTTCCTTGGGAAGCCGCAATGCTGGAGTAGCTGACTAGACGTGAGGTACCTGCTGGATTGATATTGGTTTAGTATGACTGATAGCACCGCGGCGTTAATGTTGCTGATGCTGGCTCGCTGCTGAAGCTCCTCTCTGTTGATATGCTCGCAGTAGTTAGATATATCCCATAATACTGACGCCGTATGTAGCCTGTCATCTGCTAGGCAACCTTGTTCTGCGAGAAGGAATTTGCTGAACAAACAAGCTCTAGAATACTTCGGCCTGGCTGGTGCGCCAGGAAGCTGCGCGGTTGTCTCGTTCCCATCTCCTGGCCTCATGTGCATATTGTCTCAGCTTTGCCCAGGCGCGGTCAATTCTTGGAAGGAGATCGATGCCCCTGTGCGCCGGCCCGCCAGTGGCCTTCAGCTTGGGAATAATATTCGTAATGATGGCCAGAGTCTGGGAGGGCATCGTGCCAAGCTGCTCGATTCACAGCAGTAGTAAATAAAGATCTGCAGCTGCTTGTCTGTCAGCAGCTCGAAGTGCTTGGGATGAAATCCGTCCCAAGTTTGACACGTTTGATGACTGAAGGTCCCTGTGGCTTTCTTGAGAATGGCGGGCGTGATAGTTGGCGGCCTGGGCGCCGCATCAGGGTTCCCTGGGATTCTGCGGAGGGGGGTGTCTTGGGCGCTCCAGAGGCCCGACAGTCTGTCAGCTTCGCCCTCCAGGAGCTTGCTGGGCCTGCCAGACCAACGGCCGTCTTTGGCCTTGACCTCCTGGGGCTGCCAGGTGGTGTTGTCCTTGGGCCAGCGACGGGCCCGCCCCACTTCTTTGGCCATCTGTTCCGTGGCCCGCTGTTTCCATGAGGCTGAGGCTCGGAGTCTTTCCCGAGGGCGCTCTTGATCGTGGAAGGCAGTGACCTCCTCCTGCAACTCTGAGAAGATTTGGGAGGCGCGCTGGCGGGAGGCCTGGATGCCGTCGCGCCTGGCGTCCAGCAAGAGGGCGTCGAGAAAGCGGCAACACTTGGTGAGCAGGGCCTCCAGCTCCTGGGTTGTCTGAAACTCCTGCGGCGCATCCTGCAAGGCTGACTGTGCATCTCGCAAGGATGAGGATACTCCAATGTGTAAAGCACGCTGCACATCAATAACCCTGTTGTTGAGCCACCGTAGCGGCCTCGCGTGTGACTGCCAACCTGCACGATGCTTCGATTCTTCTACTCTGGCTCAAATTCTTCTACTCTGGCAGAGCTGCCCCGACTTCTGAGCGGGGTGTCTGTTTGCTGGGCGAGCGAGGCTTCGAGGTCCAGGGCGAACGCGTCAAAGGCTGCGTTTAAAGCTTGGATCTTCTGATGCTCTGCTACTGCTGGTTCTGAAATAATCTTCTGAAGCTGCTGTGCTGCTGCGGCTGCGCGGTTCCACTCGTGAGGCTCCTTGGAGGGTCCATAGGGGCGCTAGGTGGGGATCAGTTGGGGCTTGGCCAATCTGGGGATGAGATGATTCTGGCCTGTCGTGAACTGGGCGACGACGGGCCTGTGAGGCGAGAAAGGGTAGTTGGTCAGAACCTGGGCGCTGCTCATAGATTTTCCCAAGACTCTGCTGGCGATGAGGTAATCCAGCTTCGAACGACTTTTCTCGGTGAGATAGGTGGGCCCAGGCGAGTGAATCAACTGCAAACCTCCTCGCTCCATCAGGCTGGTCTTCTTGATGGCTGAAGGCGGCGCGTTAAAATCACCTGCGGCAAGGACTGGCATGTTGTGGTGGTTCTGCATCCACCCGATGGCTGCCAGCAACTCGAGATTGCTCTGACTGAGGCCTGCTGAGTCCTCGAGGTAGAGTGAGAGCAAGATGAAGGGTGAGTGTCCTGGGAGCTCGAGAATTATTGCTGCAATCCTGCTGGGGTGGCTGGAAGGGGAGAACCGCGGGTCGAATGCCCGCGTATAGGCCAGCACGGACAAGGATAGCCGTGCCAGACAACGGACGGTTATAATCATTTGTGAACATTGGTGAGATAACAGCGTGACGCCCTGCTTTAAGGCACCGCTGCTTGGCATCAATGTTGCGATCCCCTGGGATACGAGTCTCCTGGCAGCATATCGCAATGCCATTTTCGGATAATGTCGACACTGCGAAGCTTTTGACGGCCTCCCAACAGCTGCCATTCAACGTGGCGATCTTCTTACTATAGCTAAAGCCGTGACGGATCTTTCCCCAGACCTGCTTCGGCTGCTTGCTTGAGCTTTTTCGCTTCTTGGTCCCCTTTGTCCCCTGCTTGACCGACAACTTGGCTGGCTCTCTGGAGGGCTGCTGCGCTGTCTGTCTGGCCCCGCTTTTGAGTCTGGTCCTGATCCATGCTCTGTGCCTGCTGGGGCTCTTAGGAAGCTGTTGGGGCACCTGAGGAGGCTGCTGAGGCTGGGGCTGCGGCGGGCGGATCTTCGACAGGAACAGGGATGAGTTGTCCTGGGATGGGTGGCTTGCCCGCGCCATCACCTGCTGGGCCAGTCTCCGGCTGAGGCTGCTGCTGCTGCTGCGGCTGCTGCTGCTGCGGCTGCTGATGCTGGTGCGCCGTCTCGAGAAGTTTTTCCAGGGCCTGAATCTGCTCCTGGATCTGGGGAGGAACTCCTGCGACTGGACCGTTCTGGAACTCCCCCATGAATCTCGAGACTTGCGGGAAGAAGGGTGAGGACGGGGGAGGCGCCTGCTGCTGAGCCACTGCCCGAACTGCGACTGCCAGCTGGCCCTCCAGCTGCTCGAACTCGGCTTTGGCGGTGGCCTTGTCAGCCTCCGCCGCCTCGACCTTGCTGGCCAAGACGGTGATCTCTTCGATGTAGTGGTCGACCTGCTCGGTGCACTTCTGAACTCTGCCTTCGGCGGCGGAGACCTGATCGCGGAGAGACTGACACTGTTGCTCCAAGGGTTTGCCTGGGAGAGCCGATGACTTCGCCTGCTTGAGAGAAACAACGGCTTTGGCATAAGTCTTTCCCCCCGCGCCTTCACGAACCTTCCAAAAGCTGACAAGATCCTGATGCACAGCGACGGGGTCCTCTGCTGCGGCCTGCTCTGGGCAGGCGGTGTGAATGAACTCATCCTGGTCACCGACTTCGAAACTCGACCAGCGGTTGCCTCGACCTTCTCCTGATCCTGAACGCTCCCCGGCAGACTTACCACCTCCCCCAGACTGCTGCTTCGCGGGCCCTTGAGGAGGACCTGACTTGGGCTGACCTGGCTCGGGGAAGGTGGCGCCACACTGGGAACAGAACTTATTGTTGCGGTCCATGTAGGACCATCCCTTGCACCCCTGACGCGATCAGCATACATATTGACGGTAGCTCTTTGGAGGAACCATGGCGTGAAAGCTGCGCCTAGGCTGCACGACGCGAGGACAATTGCAGCGGACGCCGCGGCCCGCCCGAGAGACTGAATGGTTCGATTGCTGAAACTGGCAGCGCTGCCTGCCAGACTCGAGCGAGGTTTGGAAGTTCAGGAGCAGGCCCCTTGAGTCAAAATGGCTACTGAGGAGGAGGAGGAGGAGGAGGAGGAGGAGGAGGAGGAGGAGAAGGAGGAGGAGGAGGAGGAGGAGGAGGAGGAAGAGGAAGGAGGGGGAGGGGGAGGGGGGAGGAGGAGGAGGAGGGGAGGAGGAGGAGGAGGAGGAGGAGGAGGAGGAGGAGGAGGAGGAGGAGGAGGAGGAGGAGGAGGAGGAGGAGGAGGAGGAGGAGGAGTACGAGCAGGAGGGCGAAAAGCGGGAGGGGCAGGAGGAGAGGAGGAGGAGGAGGAGGAGGAGGAGGAGGAGGAGGAGGAGGAGGAGGAGGAGGAGGAGGAGGAGGAGGAGGAGGAGGAGGGGAGGAGGAGGCGCAGAAACGGGAGGAGGAGGAGGAGAGAGGAGGAGGAGGAGGAGGAGGAGGAGGAGGAGGCGGAGGAGGAGGAGGAGGAGGAGGAGGAGGAGGAGGAGGAAGGGGAGGGGAGGAGGAGGAGGATGAGGAGGAGAAGGAGGAAGAGGAGGAGGTCAAACACCACAGCTTTCACGCTCAGTTTGGGCTTACGTAGATAGGAAGATGATGATGAGGATGAGGAGGAGGAGGAGAGAGGAGGAGGAGGAGGGACGAGTAGGGGGGGGAAACGGAGGAGGAGGAGGAGGAGGGAGGAGCAGGAGGAGGAGCAGGAGGAGGAGGAAGAGGAGGAGGAGCAGGAGGAGGAAGAGGAGGAGCATGAGGAGAGGAGGAGGAGGAGGAGGAGGAGGAGGAGGAGGAGGAGGAGGAGGTCGGTCGCTGTATCGGGCCTCGGGTCGAGAGGCAACCACTGGAACACATCAAAGATATGACTCGATATGTACTACCTGCAGTGCGCGCACGGACGATACGAATATGGAGTGCTTTCCCTGGGAGCCCCGAATTGACTTCGCTCTACCATCGGCGGTGAGACTCGAGAAGTTTTAATCGCTCGGTTAGACGGAGTTTCGAGAACCGCTCTACACCTGCTGTACTGCTACGTTGCATGTTGGTGTGCTGTACACGTCACGTGCTCGATTGCTGCTGCTGACACGTGGAGGGGGGAGAGGGGCCGTAGGCTGGGGGCGCGAGTCGAGCCACGCGGCGCGCGCGCGAGCGCCCGCGCCTGATGAGGATGAGGGTGAGGCAGCTGGCCGCGTGGCTCGATTGCTGCTGTTGACACGCGGAGGAGTAAGGAACACAGGTGGTGGGGGATCCTTCACGAGGAAGCCGCTGCCACCCTCCTCACGGGCGGTCTCACGCGAGCCGCCGTTCCTCTCGCCTCGGGCGCTTACCGCCTTTGGCTCGGCCGTGTCCTCTCCCGTCATACTGCGGTGCACCACGACAGACACGGCGCCTCCTGAGCCCGACGATGAGGGCAGCGCAGGAGCCTCCACGGAGACGGGCCGCGTCGCGAGGAGGTTCTGGTCCGTCACGACAGCTGATCCAGCGCCAGCTGGAGCAGGCGCTCCTGGTATCCGCGAGGAGCTGGGCCAGGCTTGATCTCCGCGCCGAGCTGCTCGGCGCACCGAAGGAAGCACTGCTCGATGCTGGGATCGCTGATGGCGATCGTGATATTCGCCTGGGTCTCCTTCCAGCACTGCGACACGCGGCATCCGCGAACCAGAAACGTGAGCTCCTCCACGGGCATCGGCTCGATCTTGGCGTAGATCGCAGCCCACGCATCCTTGTTGTGGAGGCCGACTCTGTCCCCCGCGTCGCGCACGGCCAGGGCAATCTGCAGGAACACCTGGACGCATGCTGGCACCATGACCAGCTCTGGGGTTCGATGCTGAGCGGGGTCGGAAGCGTGGAGCTTGCGCAACTTCTGCGCCTCCAACGCGCAGGCATTCCCCGCTGTGAAGCCCGCCGCCGCGATCGCGGCATCCTCCGACGTCAGCAAGGTCTGGTACGTAGACGCCATCCGATTCCTGATGATGATGATGATGATGATGATGATGCTGATGATGATGATGATGATGATGATGATGATGATGATGATGATGATGATGATGATGATGCTGATGATGCTGATGATGATGACGACGATGCTGCTGCTGCTGCTGATGATGATGATGATGATGCTGCTGTTGCTGCTGCTGATGATGATGATGATGATGATGATGATGATGATGATGATGTTGTTGATGATGATGATGAGGAGGAGGATGATGATGATGATGATGATGATGATGATGATGTTGATGATGATGATGATGATGCTGATGATGATGATGATGATGCTGATGATGATGATGATGATGATGATGATGATGATGATGATGATGATGATGATGATGGATGATGATGATGATGATGAGATGATGAGGAGGAGGAGGAGGAGGAGGAGGAGGAGGAGGAGAACGAGGAGGTGGAGGAGGAGGAGGAGGAGGAGGAGGAGGAGGAGGAGGAGGAGGAGGAGGAGGAGGGGGCGGGCCCGCGCCCTGGGCGGCGGCCCGTGCCTCGGGGCGCCCCAGAGGCCACCCGCATTGCACCCGACGGCGTCGGCGCGGACGCTGGCGGCGCCGAGGGCGGCTCGCCGGCGGCGGACTACGTCATCGACCGCACGTGGACGCGCAGCGGCCTGCACGCCAGGGCGCTTGAGCTGTCGCCGCCCCCCGCGCTGGATTCGGACCTGCGAGGAGGGAGGAGGAGGAGGAGGAGGAGGAAGAGGGAGGATGAGGAGAGAGGAGGGATGAGGAGGATGAGAGGAGGAGGAGGGGAGGACGAGGAGGAGGAGGAGGAGGACGGATGAAGAGAGGTGAGGAGGAAGGAGGAGAGGAGAGGAGGAGAAGGAGACGGAGGATGAGGACGGATGATGATGATGATGATGAGATGATGAGGATGATGATGATGATGATGATGATGATGAGGATGATGATGATGCAGATGATGATGATGATGAATGATGATGATGATGTGATTATGGCTGATGATGATGATGATGATGATGATGATGTATTACGATGACGATATGATGATGATGATGATGATTGATGATGATGATGATGATGTGATGATGCTTATGATGATGATGATGATGAAGAATGATGATGATGATGATGATGTGATGATGATGATGATGATGAGAATGATGATGATGATGATGATGATGATGTGATGATGCTGATGCTGATGCTGCTGTTGGTGATGCTGATGCTTATGCTGATGCTGATGATGATGATGATGATGATGATGATTATGATGATGATGATGATGATGATGATGATGATGATGATGATGATGATGATGATGATGATGATGATGATGATGAATAGATGATGATGATGATGATGATGCTGATGATGGTGATGATGATGATGATGATGATGATGATGATGATGATGATGATGCTGATTATGATGATGATGATTAATGGGAATGATGATGATGATGATGATGATGATGATGAGATTGATGATGATGAGATGATGATGATGATGTGATGAGATGATGATGATGATGATGAGGAGAGGAGGAGGAGGAGGAGAGGGAAAAAAAGAAACGCACAAAAAAAAAAAAAAAAAGGGGGGGGGAGGAGGAGCAGGAGGAGGAGGAGGAGGGAGAGAAGAGGAAAAGGGGAAGGAGGAGAGAGGAGGAGGAGGAGACGTATGAGGAGGAGGAGAGGAGGAGGAGAGGAGGAGGAGGAGGAGGAGAGGAGGATGAGGAAGAGGAGGAGGAGGAGGAGGAGGAGGAGGAAGAGAGGAGGATGAGGAGGAGTATAGACGGAGGATGATACGGAGGATGATGATGATGAGGAGGAGGAGAGAAGGGGAAAAGGAGGAGGAGGACGAAGAAGGAAGAGGAGAGCAGGAACGGAGGAGGAGGAGGAGGAGGAGGAGGAGGAGGAGGAGGAGGAGGAGGAGGAGGAGGGGGAGGATGAGGAGAGGAGGAGGAGGAGGAGGAGGAGGAGGAGGAGGAGGAGGAGGAGGAGTTGCAGGAAGTTGAGGAGGATAACGAGGAGGAGGAGAAGGAGGAGGAGGAGGAGGAGGAGGAGAAGAAGAAGAAGAGGAAGGATGACGCGGAGGAGGAGGAGGAGTTCGAGGAGGAGGAGGAGGAGGAGCAGGAATTACGCTACCGAGGAACCCCACATACTCATATTATGGCTGGAGTGATGAGAGCTGAAGTGAAGCATGTGAGAATGATGTTGGTGGCCGTTGCCCCGCCGATACCGCTGTGCCCTGGACGTGCAAGGTATTGGGCCACCAATTTTTCAGCTGGCGGCGGTACGCGTGAAATGCGGGGAGCACCGTCGCTTCAGAGCAGCAGCGTAAGCCTGCCAAGCTTACCTCGCCGCCATTCTGAATCATTTCTTTCTCGAGCGACGAGCACGGAGGCGGCAGCTCGCCCATGACAATTCTAGGCGGCATGGCTAGCGCGCCTGCGCAACAGCCAACTGCGGCCTTCGATTGGGTACCCTGGCGCTCCGAGCTGGCTTGAGCCAGAGTACTTACAGATCTGGATACTGCGCACACCCATGCAAGTGCAACTGATGGAATGCACCCGCGATACCTGCCCCCTACGCACCCCCCTGTGGCGCGGAGAAAATGCCACGCCTGCCACGCCCCGCGACCCTGGGACGGATAGAATCCGCGGTGACGGACCACCCCCTGCGCACCCCCTGTGGAGTGGAGAACATGCCACGCCTGCCACGCCCCGCGACCCTGGGACAGATAGAGAGACCAGTGAGAGACCACCCCCTGCGCACCCCCTCTGGTGTCGAGACAGTGCCACGCCTGCCACGCCCCGCGACCCTGAGACGGATAGAGAGACCAATGAGAAACGACCCTGTGCGCACCCTCTCTGGTGTCGAGAAAGTGCCACGCCTGCCACGCCCCGCGACCCTGAGACATATAGAGAGACCAGTGAGAGACCACCCACTGCGCACCCTCTCTGGTGTCGAGAAAGTGCCACGCCTGCCACGCTCCGCGACCCTGAGACGGATAGAGAGACCAATGAGACACGACCCTCTGCGCACCCTCTCTGGTGTCGAGAAAGTGCCACGCCTGCCACGCCCCGAGACAGATAGAGAGACCAGTGAGAGACCACCCCCTGCGCACCCTCTCTGGTGTCGAGAAAGTGCCACGCCTGTCACGCCCCGCGACCCTGAAACGGATAGAGAGACCAGTGAGAGACCACCCCCTGCGCACCCTCTCTGGTGTCGAGAAAGTGCCACGCCTGCCACGCCCCGCGACCCTGAGACGGATAGAGAGACCAATGAGAGACCACCCCCTGCGCACTCTGGTGTCGAGAAAGTGCCACGCCTCTGCGTGTCGGAGAAAGTGCCACGCCTGCCACGCCCCGCGACCCTGAGACGGATAGAGAGACCAGTGAGAGACCACCCCCTGCGCACCCTCTCTGGTGTCGAGAAAGTGCAACGCCTGCCACGCCCCGCGACCCTGAGACGGATAGAGAGACCAGTGAGACCACCCTCTGCGCACCCTCTCTGGTGTCGAGAAAGTGCCACGCCTGCCACGCCCCGCGACCCTGAGACAGATAGAGAGACCTGTGAGAGACCACCCCCTGCGCACCCTCTCTGGTGTCGAGAAAGTGCCACGCCTGCCACGCCCCGCGACCCTGAAACGGATAGAGAGACCAGTGAGACACCACCCCCAGCGCACCCTCTCTGGTGGCGAGAAAGTGCCACGCCTGCCACGCCCCGCGACCCTGAGACGGATATAGAGAGACCAGTGAGAGACCACCCCCTGCGCAGCACCCTCTCTGGTGTCGAGAAAGTGCCACGCCTGCCACGCCCCGCGACCCTGAGACGGATATAGAGAGACCAGTGAGAAACCACCCCCTGCGCACCCTCTCTGGCGTCGAGAAAGTGCCACGCCTGCCACGCCCCGCGACCCTGAGACGGATAGAGAACCGCAGTGAGAGACCACCCCCTGCACGTCTGTGTGCTGTTTGCCTGTTTGCTGCGTGTGCGTGCTGTGTCTGTTTGTGCTGGTATTGTGTACGGGTGCTGTTTGTGTGCTGTGTGTCTGTGTGCTGCGTGTATGGTGGATGTATGTGATGACTGTGATGTCGACTGTGGATGTGTGTCTGCTGTGTGCTCATGTGTCTGCTTGTGCTGATGTGGGGAACCAGAAAAGAGAGAGAGGGAATCATCACACCAGCCCCTGGATGTGTGGAGGGAAGAGGGAAGGAGGGGTGAGGAGGAAGAGGAGAAACGTGGGTGCGACGCGGCAGGGAAAGAAAACCAGAAACCCACTATGCATGTGGGGAATAAAGGAAGGAAGGAAAGAAGAGGAGGGGGAGGAATGAGGAGGAGGCGGATGAGGCGGAGGAAGAGGAGGAGGGGGAGGAGGAGGAGGAGGAGGAGGAGGAGGAGGAGGAGGAGGAGGAGGAAGAGGGATGATCGCCATGAAGGAAGTGGGTCCTGGGGCTTTTTGCTGTTTTTTGCTTTTCGGGGCCTTCCGCGGGCTCCGGGAGCATCGTGAAACTATTCAGGATGAAGAAGTGGTCCTGGGGATTGGCCTTGGTCCAGGACCCGTGTTCATCAGGACCCATGTCTTTGATGCTAGGAGGAGAAGGAGAGGAGAGGACGAGGCTGCGGGAGGAGGAGGAAGAGGAGGAAGAGGAGGAAGGAGGAGAGGGAAGGAGGAGGAGGAGGAAGGAGGAGGAGGAGGAGGAAGGAGGAGGAGGAGGCGGAAAAAGGTGATGATCAGGAGGAGGAGGAGGACCAGTGTAAACCCAGGGCACGTCAGCGATGGTGCAATCAACCCTCCCTCCAAGTTCCCCCTCGATGAGTTTCTGCGACAATTCACTTTCACTGATGGAAATGCCTCGTTGGAAGTCAACCGTCCGAGAATCTTCAACCGTGCCAAAGCACCACTCCTTGGACGTCAACGGCCCGAATCAACTTCCCTGTTGCGTCCTGACGATCCTGCATGGTGCCAGAAAACCATTCCTCGGACCTCAACACCGTATAATATGGGACGTCATCTATAACGATCCGTTAACCTGTTGAGGCGAGAACCGCATTTTCAACATGACTCGCCCTCCATCTGGGAAGCTCTTGCAAACTTTCAAGACGAATGCGCGCGGCGCTCAGGGGAAAGCCTCATTTTGAAACCGACCCGCCTTCCATCGGCGAAGCTGTTGCACACTTTGGGGCGAATGTGCGCTGCGCTGGGGCGATAGCCACATGTTGAAGCCAATCCGCCCTCCATCCGTGTGAAACTCTTCCAAGTTCTTAAGACGAGTGTGCGCGGCGCTAGGGCGAGAGCCACATTATGAAACCGACCCGCCCTCCATCTGTGAATCTCTTGCGAACTTTCAGACCAATGTGTGCGGCGCTGAGGCGAGAGCCACATTTCGAAAAGGACCCGACCTCCATCCGTGAAGCTTTCGCAAACTTGATGACGCATGTGCGCGGCGCTGAGGCGAGAGTCGCATCTAGAAAACGGACCGCCCTCCATCCGTGAAGCTCTCGCAGACTTTCTAGACGAAAGTGTGCGGTGCTGGGGGAAATCGAATTTTGAATAGGATTCGTCCTGCATCCGTAAATCGTGTGTAACTTTTTATTGCGGATGTGCGCGGCGCTAAGGCGAGAGCCACATGCTTGAAACAACCCGCCTTCCATCCGTGAAGCTGTTGCAGGTAATATGCTTCAGAACCATGAACGGTGAGGAAGTCTCAGGCGAGACGCCGGGCCCGTCCTACCGACACGTCTCGGGGGGCGACAGGCAATAATTATTTAGAAGGGCATGAATGGAGAAGGGGGAGGGGGAGGGGGAGGAGGAGGAGGAGGAGGAGAGAAGGAGGAGGAGGAGGAGAGGAGGAGGAGGAGGAGGAGGAGGGAGGAGGAGGGGGAGGAGCAGAGGAGAAGGAGGAGGAGGAGGAGGGCGGAGGAGGAGGAGGAGGAAGAGGAGGAGGAGGAGGAGGAGGAGGAAGAGGCGGAGGAGGCAGAGGAGGCGGAGGAGGCGGAGGAGGCGGAGGAGGCGGAGGAGGAGGAGGAGGAGGCGGAGGAGGAGGAGGAAGAGGAGGAGGAGGAGGAGGAGGAGGAGGAGGAGGAGGACGATGAGGGGGAGGAGGAGGGAGAATCGATGTGAAGGAGACGGGTCCGGATTTTGTTCGCAGTTTTTGGCGTCCTGGGGCCCTCCACGGGCCCTGGTATTGTCAGAACACCTTTCCTGGGGATGGCCCTGTGGTCCAGGACCGGTGTTTCTCAGGACCCGTTTATTCCATAACAGGAGGAGGAGGATGTGGTGGAGGAGGAGGTGGAGGAGTTGGAGTAGGAAGGCGCCCTAAACCAGGACTTTGCTAACAGGACTTTGAGAAATCCACCTGGAGAGAACGAGTCATGACGCGCCAACGCTTTGATTTGTCAAGAAGTCTCCGTTTAGGGGGTCCTGGTAGAAGGAGAACCAGCACGGAGGAATCCGGTCGCTGGAGGTGTTTGTCTGCGCTTTCCGGCTCCTCCACGGACCTCGCGGCCGTTCTGGAAACGGCTCCCGATGAAGAAACAGTCTGGGGGGGAGGCCCCAGGGACCACGACCCGGTTCCCTTCGGGCCCCGTGGAGGAGGTGGAGGCGGAGGAGGAGGAGGAGGAGGAGGAGGAGGAGGAGGAGGAGGAGGAGGAGGAGGAGGAGGCGGAGGAGGAGGAGGATGGAGGATGGAGGATGGGGGATGGAGGATAGATGATGGATGATGAAGGAGGATGGAGGAGGAGGGGAGGAGGAGGAGGGAGGAGGAGGAGGAGGAGGAGGAGGAGGAGGAGGAGGAGGAGGAGGAATGGGGAGGAGGGGAGGAGGAGGAGGAGGAGGAGGGGAGGAGGCGGAGGAGGAGGAGGAGGAGGAGGAGGAGGAGGAGGAGGAGGAGGAGGAGGAGGAGGAGGAAGCGAGGAGGAGGAGGAGGAGGGGAGGAGGCGAGGAGGAGGCGGAGGAGGAGGAGGAGGAGGAGGAGGAGGAGGAGGAGGAGGAGGAGGAGGAGGAGGACGAGGACGATGAGGGGGAGGAGGAGGGAGAATCGATGTGAAGGAGACGGGTCCAGATTTTGTTCGCAGTTTTTGGCGTCCTGGGGCCCTTCACAGGCCCTGGCATTGTCAGAGCACCTTTCCTGGGGATGGCCCTGTGGTCCAGGACAGGTGTTTCTCAGGACCCGTTTACTCCATACCAGGAGGAGGAGGAGGATGTGGTGGAGGAGGAGGAGGGGGAGGAGGAGCTGAAATCCACCTGGAGAGAACGAGTCATGACGCGCCAACGCTTTAATTTGTCAACAAGTCTCCGTTTAGGGGGCCCTGGTAGAAGGAGAACCAGCACGGAGGGATCCGGTCGCTGGAGGTGTTTGTCTGCGCTTTCCGGCTCCACGGGCCTCGCGGCCGTTCTGGAAACGGCTCCCGATGAAGAAACAGTCTGGGGGGGAGGCCCCAGGGACCACGACCCGGTTCCCTTCGGGCCCCGTGGAGGAGGTGGGGGCGGAGGAGGAGGAGGAGGAGGAGGAGGAGGCGGAGGAGGAGGAGGAGGAGGAGGAGGAGGAGGAGGAGGAGCAGGAGGAGGATGGAGGATCGAGGATGGAGGATAGAGGATGGGGAGGGAGGATGGAGGATGGAAGATGGAGGATGGAGGAGGAGGAGGAGGAGGGGAGGAGGGAGAGAGGAGGAGGAGGAGGAGGAGGGAGGAGGAGGAGGAGGAGGAGGAGGAATGGGAGGAGGAGGAGGAGGAGGACGTGGAGGAGGAGGAGGAGGCGGAGGAGGAGGAGGAGGAGGAGGAGGAGGAGGAGGAGGAGGAGGAGGAGGATGAGGAGGCAATCATTTTCGGGGCGAGGGGAAAGGGAGGAAGAGGGGGAGGACAGAGAGGATGAAGGGAAGGAGGGAGGATGATGGAGGAGTGCCCGCGCCGAGCGGCTCGGTTGCGGGTGGTCGGTCCTGGAGATGGCCTCCCAAAGGGCTGAAAAGGGTGTGGAACGAGAACGAGAACGAGGACGAGGAGGAGGAAGAGGAGGAGGAGGAGGAGGAGGAGGAGGGCCTTCACAGAAGGCCTCGGAAGCTCCCCCCTTGCACTGTGATCAACCCCGCAGCCTCCTTAGAAGCCGCTCCCCCTCGCGCGCCCCCCCTCTCCCCTCACCCCCGATTTGGGCGCCGCCAAGCTTGGGGATGGAGTCCAGAGGTCCGGGAACTCCCGCCGCGAAGTTTTCACGACTTCGGCTTGGATCTCGCCTGAGGTCCCCAGCCACATGATGTCGATGTTTCAGGCAGCGCGCTTGAGCAGCATCTCTGCCTAGAAGGCAAAGACCACAGTGTGCATTAGACGCTCGGCTGTCGCCTCGGGGTCGGGGAGCTTTCTGGCCCCAAGCCCCGTTTAGGAAGCCCTTCGCTGATGCGCTTGCGTCGTTGTCGAGAAAGAAAGTGCAACAGTATATTGCCTGACGTGACCCTGGCCCAACAGATACCCCAAGTTTTTCGCGCCATATTGGCCTCCATGGAGTCTTCGGGTCGTCGTGAGGGGTGCTCTGGAGGCCATCTGGGCCTCCCCAGGAAAACCAGGGTCACCCTTTGGCCAGGGCCACCTCGGGCAACAGTTGATCGAAGGTCTGGGTATGAAGGTAGATCGCCTCAGAGAATCCCAGACCGCTCTCAGAGCGGTCTTGCACGTTGTAGAACGGCCGCGGCGACTGGTACATCTTCCAGACTTGTTGGCTCTCAGAGGTTCCCGACCTGTCCCATCCCGATGTTGTCTTCATTCTGCCGTCAGTCTTAGGACGGTCGAGTGGCGCGGCTGGTGCTGCCGCGGCGGCCGGCGGATCTGTTGATGCTCCGGGAGTTGAGCCTGGACCGCCTGCGGGTCACTTGGTGGCCGCACCGCGGACCGCGGCACGGCATCAACGTGGCCGTGTTCACCAGCGCCGTCTCGCTGTGGCGCCACGATCCGTCGCCGCGCCTCCCTGCGCTCCGGCGGGCGAGGCCGCATCACCTGGACCAGTGGCTGCTGCTGCTGAGCGCCGTCATCGACCTCCCCGCTAACGTGTCCATCCCCTCGTGCGCGGCGCGCTGGCGATGGGTGGACTTCAACGGAACACAGCCCGCGTTCGCCAACGTGGTGCGGCTCCCCTTGCGCGTTGTCGAGGCAGACCAGCCACGACTGGGGGGGGTCGCGGCCCTTCGTCCTCTGGGGTGGATCCATCTGCTTCGGCACCCCTGTCGAGAGATCGTCGATGCGATGGGTTCACCCAGCGGGGTAAGAAACCCCAGTCGTGGCTGCACGGCGAGGTCGTCTGCAGGCGCCGCCCCCCCACCCTGCTGGAGCTGGCCCTGCCTCCGCGCCAACGAGAAGGCGGGCGGAAGGAGCTGCTGACCAGGTGCCTATGGGTTGCGGCCGCTGGGACGCTCCTGCTCGCGTGCGCCTTGCAGGTGCTGCTGCTGATGCTGGGCCTCATGATGTTCGTGCGGCAGGTGCGGGCGGCGGGCGCGCGGGGCTGACGGCGCGGGGAGGACCGCTGCGCCTCCGCGCCACCCCCTCGAGCCGCTGGAGGGCGCCCCCCCCCTCCTGGCAGGACGCAGGGGCTCCCGCTCTGACGCACGCGCGCGCGCGCGCCGCTCGGGCACGGAGCGCGGCGCGCGCCACAGAAGCGTGCGCGTGCGGCGCGGCACCGGCGGCTGGCGCGTGGGGGCGGCCGGCCCAGGAGCCTCGGAGAGCGGACCCGGGGAGGCGCGCGCCGCGGGGAGAGGCGCGCCGCGCCGCGGCGGCGTCTCGCACTCCAGGGGCCAGGAGGGCTCGGGGACGACCTGGGCACTCCCCGGGCCCTCCTTCCTCCCTCCCTCCCCTCCTCCTCCTCCTCCTCCTCCTCCTCCTCCTCCTCCTCCTCCTCTTCCGTGCTATTTTGGCTCAAGATGTTTCTTGCCCGTGGCAGAGCACGGATACCGCTAATCCGCGGCTGACTGGCGTTTCTGGGCCTGTTCGCCCAGGTCTGGATCGTGGTGCCAGAGCGTCGCGACTCTCCTCCCATCGTTTTGTCGGGTGAGGGTAAGCTGTGGAGTTTCCAGTCCCTTCATCCGTCAAGGCGGATGCCAGACCGCAAGAAGGAGAAGAAGGTCACGAAGGATGGCAAGGATGTATTCTCTACCCCGAGGAGGTCTCTGAAGAAGAACGACTCCGACTCCTCTGTGGACTCGGTCTCCTCCCGTACCCCGCAGAGGTCGGCTCCATCTTCACCTCGCCGAGGCGCTACTGCTCGTCCTCGCCATGACGATTCTTGGCGGCGTATTGAGGCTGGAGAGGGGCAGGCCTCCGCGGGCAGCAACATCGATGACAGCATCCCCAGGCAGTTGGACCTCGCTGCCACGTTCCCTGATGGCGAGGGCGGCAGTTGCCCTACACCCGACGCTGCGTTGGAGATCGGCCAGTCCCATCCGCTTCCTGCCCCCTCCGTGCCCCTTCGTGCTGCGGATGGTGCCGCCAAAGGCGGTGGAGGTGTGGCGGACACATGGATTCGACCTGCCATCGTCCAGATCGCGCGGGAGATCCAGGCTGAGGAGTTCAGCAAGTTTAAAGAGTCATGCATTGGCGAGCTTAGTTACTAAAGGTGTGGTCGAATCTATTGAAGCAGTCCTCCCGCGTTCACTTGCAAGCAGTGCCGAGCCCATGCTCAATGGTCTCGAGAAGAGGATGGTGTCCATATTTGATGCGATCAAGGCACAGATGGCCGTTGCTGGTGAGAAGGTGGTCACACTGGAGAGCAGCCATGATGACCTGGTCAAGAGGATGGAGCGATTGGAGAAGGTCTTCGACTTGGCGCGTGCGGAGCCGATGGTTCCTGTGGCCAGGCCAGCGGGCTGGGATCGACCCAGAGACCACACCATCTTCGCCATCAACTCGAAGGAGGCCGTCTTGTGGCCTTCTTGGGGCCTCTTGGAGGCATGTTGTTCGTTATCTTGGGCCATGTTGGGCTATCTTGAGCGATCTTGGAGGCCATCTTGGGCTCTCTGAGGCCCTCTTGAAGCCATCTTGGGCCACCTTGGACGCTCCAACCCCTCGCGAGCCCCCCCGTCCAGGTCCAGGGGAGGGGGTAGGAGGAGGGGTTAAGCTACCCACCCGCCCGCAAGCCGTCTAGCTCACTCCCACCCGACCCCCCAACACATAAGTAACACCCGAGTCTTAGCATGTTCAGCGGTCGTCTTTGGATGGGCAGCTACTGGGAACCAAAGCCGACCTCAGGTGTGCGACGCTTGGGCGAGATGCGCCACGCGTGCCAGGGGCGCCAGCCGCGCCAGGCACCCCTGGGGCCCGAACGTGCCAGGCACGCCTGGTGCGCCAGATGCTCCACGTGCTCCAGCCGCGCCAGGTGTGCCGCACACTCCAGCTGCGCCAGGTGCGCCACGTTCGGGGCACGTGCAGAGTGCGTCAGGTGCGCCTGCGCACGTGACAGCATACATGTAGAAACATGTGGGCTGTGAGCAGGCCCCATCATTATGTCTGGTGGGCCTGCTCACAGCAGGCCACGCGCAACCATTCCCGCCGTCCTTATCAAAAACCATTTGACAGTGATCGCGGGGTGGCCGCGCATGATCTTGATTTAGCCACGAGGTGCATTTCGAATTGTTTTTTGTCAGGGATGGCAGCCCTGCGCGCAGCAGGGAATATGTTGACACCCCCGCCGTCCCTGTCAAACACAATACAAAGTGCTCGCGGGCCTTACGAACGTAACTCAAGACTTTGCCCGAACATGTACTTTGTATTTTTTTGAAAGGGATGGGGGGGGCCGCATCGGGTTGGCCGCGCATGCGCCAAATGTGGAGGCAGAGTGCGTTTTGTTTCCCCAATCAGAGCTTGCCTCTGTAGGGGTTCTAGCGGATTCATATGGTTAGGTGAGGTGCGGCGCCAATTTGGTGGCCAGCGGCCGGCGGCCGGGTGCCCAGGTGCCCGTGCCCGTGTGCCCGGGTGCCTGGGTGCCTGGGTGCCCAGGTGCCTGGGTGCCCAGGTGCCCAGTAGTTCTATATAGTCCTATAGCCCTATAGCCCTATTAGCCCTATTAGCCCTATAGCCCTATAGCCTTATAGCCTTAAAGCCCTATAGCCCAATAGCCCTATAGCCCTATAGCCCTACAGCCCCATAACCCTATAGCCCAATAAACGTATATCCCTATGGCCCTGTAGCCCTATAGCCCATAGCCTTCTAGCCCTATGGCCGTATAGCCCCATAGCCCTAAAACCCTAAAGAGATTATGATTGGGGCTTTTCTCCGGTATCATGTTGTTTTTTGACAGGGATAGTGGGGGGGTGGCCCTCATGGGGTTGGCATGGTTCCGGGTTGGCCGCCGGCTGGGTGGGGGTGGGGGTGTATATTAACAGGGAACAGTGATAAGCCCCTCCCCGAAGGGGAAGGGGGGTTGTCGAAGAGGACAGACAGACATCGTTAGACAACCTGTCGCCCAGAGGGCTGGTGGGATTACGATTTGTAGAGCAAGAGTGGGCAAAAAGACCGACATACCCCCAGGCGGTGTAACCAGGTCCCCCGGCACCCTGGGGCGGGGGGGAGAGGAGAGAGAGAGAGAGAGAGAGAGAGAGAGAGAGAGAAAGAGAAACAAACATTGACAGGATGCCTCATGGGAAACGAGATACGAGGAGCAACGCTCCTTCGCCTGCTACTGGGGGTCAGCCTTTTGGGTCAGGAAAAGGTCGGCTCAATTTTGCTGATTTTCCTCACTCAGGGTCGCATTTCCATCAACAGCGATGTCTTCGTTGCCTTTTCCGGGGCAATTCCTTTGGAAATACTTGGTCCAAGTTCGCATTCTTTTCAGATAACTAGTTATCCTTAGTTTGCCCTTTGCTGACTCTGACCCCCATTAGCAGGCAAACGAAACGCGGCAACGTGGTTGCGGCGCATGGGAGCGCTGGCTGCGGAGGAGGCATTCGCGCGCGTGAGACTGCGGCCAACACGCGCCGAAGTGGGATGGTGCAAGGGCCTCTCATGGCGGGGGGCGGGCAGACGCCCGCATCGAGCCTCGAGCCTCGAGCCTCCTCCGCCTCCTCCGCCTCCTTCTCCTTCTCCTGCTCCTGCTTCTCCCCCCCTCCTCCTCCTCGTCCTCCTCGTCCTCCTCGTCCTCCTCCTCCTCCTCCTCCTCCTTCTCCTCCGCCCTCCTCCTCCTCCTCCTCCTTCGCCCTCCTCCGCCCTCCTCGTCCTTCTCCCACAGGGAGTCCCAAAGAGGTGGCCCCCAGCTCGAGCCGTGGTGCCCTCCCCCGCCGGGGCAGGCGAAGGGCACCAGAGGCCAGACTGGGGGCCGCTCGGGGGCCCCCGCCCCGGTAGGCTTGTTGCGCCATCCGGTGGCGGTGGCCGCACGTGGCCCGACACCCGCCCCCCCCAGCCATCCCACCCACACCTCCTCAGAGGAGGACGAGGTTCCCATACCTCCAGCCTGCGCCCGTTTTCCCCCCCTTGGGCCTCCTGGGAGGTCCTCGTTGCAACCGCTGGATTCGCCTCCACATTCTGGTCAGGACTCACCCCGGGAGAGGTCCGGGGAGTAGCGGTATCGGTACCTTTTGATTTCCCCACCTCCACTATGTCAGAGCCTTGACCGTTGACAGCAACATGACCATCGGTGGTTGCTTCCACCATGGGGGCGATCTCGGTGATGGTGGTGGTGTCTGGGCTCATATCAGGTGGCCGGAAAGTTACCACCAGCCGCAAACTCCAGGATCATCTTCCCCTGGTGGAGGCACCCCCTTGCGCTGGTGTTGGTATCCATTCCCAGGCCCCCAACTATGGTTCGGCAGTGAGCGCGGTAGAACGGTGAGCGAGCTGAGGAGCAGACTGAAATGGGGGGGCGGGCTGAGTGCAGAGGGACAGAAAGACTGACATAGGGGGCGGTCTGAGCGCTGAGGGGCAGCGGCTGTAGCTAAGGGCAGCCTGCACAGGGACGGCGTTTGCTGTTGAACGCCGAGTGCACAAGATGTGAGGCACTGAGCGTGCAGCGCTGAGTTGGCGACGCTGCTTGCCGCGGCTGCCCTTGCCATTGCCAGGGCAGCCAGCGGTGGTCGTGTCCCTCCTCCACCGATAGCCCATACCCACACCCGTCAACGTTGAGAGCCGCATGGTGCAAGATAGATTTGGATGCAGTGAGTTGCAGGCGGGGTAGAGTGGCCTGCGGCTGTAGTTGCGGTGGCACGGCGGAACTACGAATATTGGCAACATAAGGGTTGATATTGGCAACATAAGGGTTGATAGTTTTTTGCGCGCGCGTGCGAACGCTTGTGTGTTGCATGTGCCTGGCGTGTACTTATGTGCTTGCGTGTTTGCGCGGCGTGGCATGAGTGCTGGGTTGGTGCGTGCAGGGTCTCGGGTCTCGCGTCTGGGTTGCTCCATGCAGTGTTTTGGATCCTCGGAACAAATGCCACGTCCAGCCTTTGCTAGGGTGTCGGGGGGCGCGCCCGTAGTTCTCACCGGCCCACGCCCTGCTCCCGGGGCCGCGGTGCCGGGTGTGGCCGCCAACCACACCGGCACGTCCATAGACCGCCGAGTCGGACGGGAGCAATCCTCCTGCGCCTGGGGTGCAGCGTTGTGCTGGTTTGGCGCCACCATAGGCCCAAATGTGCCCAAGCCACCCGGCTGGGCCGCGGGCAACGTCCCTGGGGCGCTCGGGGGGGCTGGCGGCAGAGAACGCGTGGTTGTGGGTCGGCGCCCCGGGGGCGGCCAACCCCACGGCGGGGGGGCGTCTGGGTTCCCCTCGGCC